TGTCGCCCTCCTCGAGCGCCGCCTCGCGCGGGTCCGGCAGGGACTGATCCTCCTCCTCCTCCTCCTCCTCCTCCTCCTCCTCCTCCTCCTCCTCGAGCGCCGCCTCGCACGGGTCCGGCAGGGATCGGTCGGCGGCGAACGTCGGGGCGGAGCGCGCGGAGCGGGGGACAAGCCGCATCGCTCCCAGATGTTTGCTGGCAGATCTTGGTGTCCGGGCCACGGCGGCGGCGAGGGCCGGGCAGCGGCATCCTCTTCTGACCCTCCTCCTCCTCCTCCTCCTCCTCCTCCTCCCCTCCTTTTCCTCTCCTCCTCCTTCCTCCTCCTCCTCCTCCTCCTCCTCCTCCACTACCCCGCCCCCTCCTCCTCCTCCCTCGCCCTCCCCTACCTCCTCACCTCCTCCCCTCCTCCTCCTCCCCTCCTCCTTCTCCTCCTCCTCCTCCTCCTCCTCCTCCTCCTCCAGCGTCGCTCCTGAGACGGGGGTTATCCAACGACGAACACAACGCTTCCAGAGTTGCTGGCAGGTCTCGGTGGCCGCACAAGGGGCGGGGGGGGGCGATCTTGCGACGCAACTCGAGGCTGTGCCCCAGCATCAAGGGAGCGAATGTACCCCCAACCCACCAGTCAGCGGCCAGCCCAGGGGATAATTATGGGAGGGGGCGGGCCTTCTCAGAGGCTCGGAGTCCCCCGGCCTTCTGATAAGTGTTCTGAGCGCTCCCCGAGGACAGACAGCTTCGCAAAAGGCCGGAGCGGAGCAGGAGGAGGAGGAGGAGGAGGAGGAGGAGGAGGAGGAGGAGGAGGGGCGAGGCGGAGGGGGAGGGGGGGGGGAGGCGGGAGGCAGGAGGAGGAGGAGGAGGAGAGGAGGAGGAGGAGAGGAGGAGGAGGAGGGGAGGAGGACGGAGGCGGAGGGGAGGAGGAGAGGAGGAGGAGGAGGAGGAGGAGGAGGAGGGGAGGAGGAGGCGAGGAGGAGGAGGGGGAGGAGGAGAGAGGAGGAGGAGGAGGAGGAGGAGGAGGAGCAGGAGGAGGAGGGTGATGAGGAGGACGGGAGGGGAAGGAGGAGGAGGAGGAGGAGGAGGAGGAGGAGGAGGAGGAGCGACGCTGCGGGGGGGGGAGCCGGCTCAGGGGGGGCACGCCTCGACCCCCCGGTCGCCTTACGGATTGCCGGTGGGCGCTTGACAGACCGCCCCGCCCAGGATTTCGAGCAGCGACGAAGCGTCCTGGCTCGCCTGTAGGCCCACCAGAGACAGTTCTAACAGCCTCCTGTGGTCTGCACGAGACGTCCTCAGAGCAGTTCTGGCCGGGAGCGTCTTGCTCTGACACGTCGGGCCTGTGTTCTAAGGGCACTGTGTTCTTTGGATTACTGGGGCTCCACCCGCTCCAGCCGCCTGAGGCCCCGCCTTCCTGTGCCCTGTCTCCCTAATACAAGCTGTGCGTAGCCCGCCGAGCTTTTAGCGGAAGAGGTTCGCTCTCGCCCCGCCAACCAAAAATTGTGTTCTTTGGATTACGTCGGGCCTCCCTCCACAGGAAGAATCTTCAAACATTGTTAGCATAGTCGGGGGAGGATGTGTTTAGCGTTTGTTTTTCACTCCGGGGTGTCTTTCGAATATGCTTTACTTCCCGTCCAAAACCCTTTTGTGGGAGGACAGGCCCGACTTCATCTCAGGACATCCTGGTGCTGCGAAGAGCGTTTCGTGGCAGGCCTCGGGCGGTCGTTCCTGCTCGGGGCTGGTACCGATCGAACTCAGAGCGTGAAATACCCACCCCGCTTTCGTTCCCAGGCAAAACCAAGTCATACCACGCTCCTCCTCGTCGAGCGGCCTGACCAGCACAGGCCGTAGTTTGGCATCGTTCGGCATCTCTTGGAAGCGAGGGTGCTCAAAAGCGAGGTAGGTCTGCTTTTCCCCTACGAACGCGGCCGAGGAGGAGGAGGAGGAGGAGGAGGAGGAGGAGGAGGAGGAGGGAGGAGGAGGAGGAGGAGGAGGGTCCCTGCTCGAGTGCCGGGGCGGTCGGTCCCTGCTCGAGGAGCGGCCGGCTCTGCCGCCGTGGGCCCGTCGCCGGTGGCGCCTGCGTGCGGCTGCCTCCGCCTCCCCGCCCCGGCCGTGCCGCCCTTCCTCGGGGGCAGCGGCAGTAAGGAGGAAAAGAAACACACAGACACAATTGATCCTCGATTCCCCAGAGAAAAAGTGGGAAAATATAGGAAGCGGGGGGGAAAAAAAGAAACCCAGAGAATGCAGGACAATATGGGACATGTGTTTATTCGTGTGTATCTATTTGTGTGTGTCCTGGGGCCCCTTCAGATAGGGGGGGATGGGCACAAAGGGGGGGGATGCATCGACCCCCAGTCGCTCATGGATCGCCGATAGGGGCCCGATAGCCCCAGCCTGTACAGGAGGGTGCGGATTCACGATCGGAGGCCTATCGCCGATCTATCGGCGATGCATCGCCGATTCCAGGTCGATGCATCCCCCCTATGCGTATCCCCCCCTATCGTTGCCCCTCACTTCCCTTGCTCAGGCGATCGCAAACATGGGTTAAGGTTCAGTCGGGCAACATGATCTGGGGATGCTTGTTCGACTATGTTTGACCATGTTTGCATATTTGGGGGGAATTCTTTATTCTTCGTTCAAAATACGCCTGTAGGGGGACAGGCCCGAGACTCGAGGTTAAGGGTCCGAGGCGGGAATTCATACATGACCGCCGCCTGGAGCGTCAGCTTTCGGAGCCTTGGCAGGCGGTGGATATGGACCTATTCGGTCCCCCGGGGGCTGAAGTAGATCCATATATCCACAGCCCGCCGTGGCATCAGCATGTCGGTTCCCAGGCGGTGGGCATGGACAAATCCCCGCCTCGCATGAAGGGGGCGTGGACTAGCGACGGGTCCAGTTTCCATGGGAAATATCGGGTTTCCTCCGCCGAGCGAGGCGGCACCAGCTGCATTTTGGGCAGGGCACCTCCCCCGATCCGTGGATTTGCCTCCTGCTCCCTGCCTGCTGCGTCCGCCTGGCCCCCCTTCCGCCTGCCCGCCCGCCCCGCCCGCCCCGGCCCCCCGCCTGCGCGTTCGTCGTCGTCTGCCTGGCTTCTCCCCTCCCCCCCTTTCGCCGGGCAGCAAAGACTGCCCGGGAGCAGCGTGGAGCTGTTTTTGCCTGTCGCCGATCAGTCGGCGATGCATCGCTGGTGCCAGTTCGATGTTTCCTCCCATGAGCTGCCCCCCCCCTCAACTTTGCCCCTCAGGGTGAGGGAGGCATGGGAAGGTCGGAGGAGGACCAGTTGAGACCACGGCGGCTGCCCAAATCCGTGCAAAATTTCGCTCCCCAGACCCCTCCCTGGGTCCACCCTGGCCCGTTGTTCGAGGCGGTTGCAGCCATGGTTAAGTCGGGCCTGTCCCCCTACAGGAGGGAATATTCAGAAGCAGTCCCAAAATAGTCTGGGGACGATGCTTCCGATCATTTTTGAATATTTTTTATTATTCGGGGGGGTAGTTTTCTCGTCGAAAATCCGCCTGTAGGGGGACGGGCCCGACCTCAAGCCATGGCGGAAGCGGGGCGCCCAGGAGGCCCAGCGGCGGCGGCAAACGCCGCCGAGGGCCGCGGCTCTGCCTCGACCCGCCCTCCCCGCAGGCCCCCGTCCGATGGGCCTGCTTTTCCACCACCACCACCACGAGTTGGAGGGGGAGCGAGTTCTCCTCCTCCTCCTCCCTCCTCCTCCTCTTCCTCCTCCTCCTCCTCCTCCTCCTCCTCCTCCTCCTCCTCCTCCTCCCTCCTCCTCCCTCCTCCTCCTCTCCTCCTCCTCCTCCTCCTCCCTCCTCCTCCTCCTCCCTCCTCCCCCCTCCCGCCTCCTCCTCCTCCTCACCTCTCCTCCTCCTCCTCCTCCTCCTCCTCCTCCCCCTCCTCCTCCTCCTCCTCCTCCTCCTCCTCCTCCTCCTCCTCCTCCTCCTCCTCCTCCTCCTTCTCTCCTCCTCCTCGTCCTCCTCCTCCTCCTCGTCCTCCTCGTTCCCCGTCACCCTCGGGCCGCCTATAGGTCGTCCGCGCATGGAGGCAGCTCCACGGCGCTCAACGAGAGGCGCTCGGTGGGGATGACCTCCTTCCAGAGCACCCGGGGCGGCACCTTCGGCTGGGTCCCCGACCAGCCTTAAGTCGGGCCTGTCCCTCTACAGGAGGAACATTCAAAAATAGTAGAATATACTCCTGGGACGATTTCCTTTTATTTTTGGCGCATGTTTGTGGTATTGTGTACTTCTTCGCCCAAAATCCCCCTGTAGGGGGACATGCCCGACCTAAGACCAGCCCCGGTCGCGCAGCGTGTCCGTGCACAACATGACGTTCGACTCCTCGCAGATCCTGTCCTTCCTGCGCTCGAAGGACCCGCCACCGCCCCAGATCTGCGACGAGATGTTTTTTCCCGCTACGATCCCCGCTGTTTACCTCGCTTCCGGCGTCTCGGCTGGAGGCCATCAAACATGGGCACCGTTGGCGGCGCGCAGAGGGGGGTAGGGGGAGGCTTCTTAGAAGAAGGCTGCTTCGTAGAGGCCGCGGGCCTTACATTTACAGACGAGGCCCGCGCCTTCCCAAGAAGCGGGGGTGCATCTAAGTAGCCTTCCCCCCTCCCCCATACCCCCCTCCCCCCTGCGCGCCGCCAACACCGCACGGAGAACTGGTCTCGGGGAAGGGGGCACGAATCTTGGGGCCACGGATGGGTAAAGCCACATCGGCGGATGCCAGGCTTCGGGTCGGACGCCAGGGGCGGGGACTTGCCCCAGCCCCCCTCGGGTCGTGAACCAAGTCACGACGCAAGGGTCTTGGAGGAGTTGCCCGCCTGGCGGCCCTCGCCTGGCCCTGGGGCCGTCGAAAGGCGACTCGGGATGCAAAGCCGGTCCCGGGGAAAGGGTCGAGGTGGTCGGGCGGGTGGCAATGGGGGGTGGCCCACATGGGGGGTGAAGGCAAGGGCCCCAGAGGGACCCTTCTCTTCCCCCCCCCATGTGGGTCACCCCCCATCACCCCCTGCCCGAGCGGTGGTCGACGTCAATTATGTCATGACATCGCTGGCCTGGGTCCGTAGCCATTTTGGCTCAAGCCTTGTTTGGTTCGCGTTTCGCTGCCTCAGAGCTGGCGGCTGGTTCTTGCGGAGGTGGCCGTGACTGGACCCACAACATATTTTCTGTGTGGCGGGGGCGCGCACGCGACGAGCTCGCGCACATGGTGAACATGTCGGACATCTTCACGGCGGTAAAGTCCGTCTGCTCGGTGTGTCTGTTGTTGTTCTCCGTCGTCGTCGTGATGGCCCTCATCTACGCGGGGGACACGAAGCTCTCCCGGGACGGGCACCCCGTGGTCGCCTTCGTTGTCATCTGGGTCGCCACAGTGTGGCTCGCGGTGGTCGAGGGAGGTCAGGCCTCTCTGGTCGGACTCCCTCCCATCCAGCCGAACCTCTACAAGGACAGTCATCCAATCACTCACCGCATCACTGCGCTTGCTCACAGGGGCGACAACCTCAATCGTTACCTCATCGGGCGGCAGTTCTTGGTTGTCCTGATCGTCTTCGTGACAAACATGTCGGGCGCCCCGCTCAGAGATGCCACTGTCCTTGGTTTGCCCGACGTGCTTCAGGATGTATTTTTGTCGTCAGGTTTGGCTATGATTTTGATGTTGGCCATGATCGGCCAGCTTTCCGCTCAAGTTAATGCTTCACACTGCATGCTTGATTTCATCAATTCCTATGTCGCATTGGCAACGCTCTACGTAGCATTGGCAATTGAGTTCTCTGGTATCCTGCATTCAGCATACCTCATTCGGTGGATGGTTGAGAAACTCGCACGTAGACCAGCGACATCCACTGGCAAGTCGAGCAGTGGTCTGCAGCGTTTTCTCTTCGCTGGGCGCATCGTCTTGTCACTATGTATATTGGGCTTCGCCTTGGCGGTGACGATGTCTGCTTTATTCCAAGGGAAGACGACCATGTGGCCGGGTGTTCCAGAGGTGGTCTCTGTGCTCCTTTTCCTCTTTCTCATGTCGGTCGTCGGCATGCTCGAGGGTGCACAGATTGCTTTCTTTGCTGTTGCCAAGCTTGACAAATCGGAATTGGGCAGCAATCCAGTAGTTACAAAAACTTGCGAGCTCCTCTTTCGGGGAGACGGTCATAATCTTCCAGGTTTCATGATTGGCCGTCAGATCCTTGTGACTATGTGCTTCTTCATCATCGCTCGAGTCACCACTCTGAACGTCGACGCAGAAGCTGGCGAAGAAACTATATTCGGGGTATCCCCTGGGGTGCAGGATTTCTTCAACACTGGCTTGCTCGGTGCCATCATCACCACCACTGTCGGATCTATTACTTGGCAGTTGGTGGCCTCGGTTTTTCCTGTCGCGTTCATGCACAACCCGCTGGTGTACGTTCTATTGCGGATCTGTTTGTTCCTTGAGTTCACTGGCGTTTGCTCTGGTGCGTGGGTCCTGGCCTCGTGCCACAAGTACATGGCGCGTTTCCAGCGCGATGAATTCTACCTTGACTGCGCTGGCAGCGACAGTAAGGTCGACGTAGAAGTCGGTTCAAATGTTGGCTTTCAGCCTGGCGCGGATTCAAAGCCATCGCTGGGAACCGATCCGGGAACCTTTCACATGGACCCAGCCAAGTACATCAGCGAGGCTTGTCCAAGCACCATCGGGAAGGATCCGCAGCCGTCCGCAAGTTCGTCGTGACAGACGCTGCCCGTTGCCGACTTCAGAGTAAGCCAGTGCGGGTGAATCGTCCGGGTAGCCTTGCCCCCCAACTGGTCTGGAAGACAGGGGGCCTAATACACATGTGAGTGGTCTTTCAATATGTCTGAAACCTTGACAATAGTCGTTGCCTCGAATGCCACAATTAAGCCTTCAGGGCCAGCCAGCCTGGCCAGCCAGCCCGCCGCAGTTTCCGTCCGGTCCGGTAGCGACGGCCTCGTTGCCCCCGCGGCGGCGCTGGGCCTGCCCGATGCGTCGGCGAGTGTACAAAGCCACTGCACGGCCTGTTCGACCCGCTGACTAATACCTTTGCTCGCCACGCAGAGAATTCAAGAAGAACAAACGCCATAATCATAAACTTTTGGCGCTCCGCGCGGATTTCTTGGATCCGCGCTGGGCTTGACCGATGCGTCGGCGAGTGTACAAAGCCACTGCACGGCCTGTTCGACCCGCTGACTAATACCTTTGCTTGCCACGCAGAGAAAAAAAAAATGACATCGCTGGCCTGGGGACTGACGCCACCCCAAAGATCGTGCGCCTCGAGGGAGTCGCACGACCCAGGTTTGAGCTCGCGTTCTGGGCCCCGCTGCCACCGAGTCTCGGACCCCGGTAGCCAGGCGACAGTCCACCCACGGACTCCAGCGCCGAGGGCACCAGAGCCTCGACTTCGAGGGTCGCCGCTGCGCGGTGGAGCGCCAACGCAGCGGCCCTGACCCAGATCCCCGACGCCATGCTTGCTTTCCCCAGAGTCGCAACCCCGGAGGTGGGCGGCCCCAGGGTTCTCGGCGATAGT